TGGTGCTTTCCGTGACTCACACGCTTGGTAATCTTGAAACCACCTCCGCAGTTTACTGGCATTCACGCGTTTTTGGTTGTCTCCTTTCCGTATCGCGTAAACAGAGCCACGTCTCTCAATAACAATGTACGGTCCTTCCCATTTCGGGAGCAGCCTCCCTGATCCTTGTCCGCTGCTACGGTGCCTTTCCGTTCTCTACATTTACCAGGTCCCCGACTTTAAACGGCTTCCACTGCCTACTCTGCTGTTCCGTCGTTGTGTGCAACATCTGTTTCCTCTTTACATTGCTGATTGCCTCCCTCCTCTCCTTCTTTAACCTTGTTGCCGTCCACTTCTGTTGTTGAGGCCATGTCTTATTGTGCATTGGAAGTCGCGGATGTCTCCCGTACATAAGCAGGTAAGGTGATTTCTTGGTTGTTCCTTGTATTGAGGCACGATGCGCTAGCACGTTTAGTGGCCTCGCCAAAAAAAGAACCTATTGTGCAACTTCCTTATTTGTACTCTACTATTGAAAAAATGAGGCTGTATAATACTGTTTCTGTCAGTGACATGGTGTAAATATGCAATCAGAAACTGACTCTTATACTTAATTTAACTGCTATAACTTTACAGTAATTGTGAAAGCATTTGTGACAATTTGATCTAGCCTGTAAACTGGCGTGATTCTTGTAACGTAGTTATTTGGGAATAAATTATTATCATTATTATTATTATTATTATTTCACTGCTCATGCGTTTCATACAAATCCCATTGTATTCCCGCTCTTCCTTTCTTGATCTTCCCCCATCTTCTGCTGCCAGACATTACGTTTTTACTCGCGTCATATACTACTTATAAGTAGCGCGCACCACACATGGAGTATTTCATTCTTTTCCACGTACTCCCTCATTTGTTCGTCCACTAGCCCTTCCATAACCTTTGATAATATTGTTAGTTGTGCGACTGGTCTGTAACAGGCTCGGTCCTTTCTATCTCCTCCTTTGAAGATTGGAGAGAGAGTAGCTTGTTTCCATTCCGCTTGGAATTGCTGTGACCCCTGTGAATGCTTCAACAGATCGCATAACCGTGTACAGAGGACTTCAGCACATTGATGCAAGACTATAGGGCAGATTTTGTCACAACCTGGTGACTTGCCTGGGCGTAAGGAATTTAGTTTCCTTAGTACTAGGTGTAAATGAGTTTCTACAGTGGCCGTTCCAATGGGTTCCAATAGAGGCACTCCTGTACTCGTTTCTCCCAATCCCAGGTCCAAACAAATCAAAAAAGGACAAAAATTCTAGGAGAAAGCGGTCTTATTTAATATAGACATGGAAATACAAAGCATTACCTGGAATTAATGCTCCTTCCAGGATACAATTACTCCGAAGAGTATCAGAAACAGCGATAGATAAGTCCAGCGGCCACTGCATCAATCCAAATATGGCTGTAGCCATATTAAAGGTCAAATTTAAACAACATATATACAATCAGAAGCAAACACAAAAACTTCAATATAAGTACAAAATATAGAAAGAATAACAATATACAATGATAAAATCTCAAATTGGAATCAAATAAAATACCAAAAATGTCAACAGAAAAAGTCCGTCATGTCATAACAAAAATATGTAAGCATGGAGGGATTTTGCGGGCCGGTGTAGAATCCTTTTTGAATGTTTTGTTTTTTGGAAAATCCCTCCATGTTTACATATTTTTGCTATGATATGACGGACTTTTTCTTTTGACATTTTTGGTACTTTATTTGATTCCAATTTGAGATTTTATCATTGTATATTGTTATTCTTTCTATATTTTGTACTTATATTGAAGTTTTTGTGTTTGCTTCTGAACTGTACATATGTTGTTTAAATTTGATATAATATGGCTACCGCCACATTTTTGGACGGACGCAGTGGCTGCTGGACTTAGCGTCACTTATTGGTTATTGTGTCGGATACTCTGCGGAGTAACTTAACCCTGGAAGAAGCACAATTTCCGTAGGCTTTGTATTTCCATTTT